TTAGTCTGATGTGATCCACCTAAGCTGCTCATCCATGCAGTTAACAGTCAAAATTCATATTCATGAACCATTAGCTCCTTTATTGAGAGGAGATGAACGCAAACAACCTAATGTAAATGATGGTCTATCTCAGCAGCCCTCCCTCCATTTTGATGTTCAAGCCAAAGGTGATCTACTTGGTCTCTGATTTAACCAAAATATTTTTAATCATTTGCTTTTTAGTTGATATTTCTTCATTCTTAACGTAGTGAAACTTGCAAAGCACATGGCTTGAGTGAGCTGCCAATAGTTCTGACATTGTGGAGACTGAAATCTCATTTTGAATACTGAAAAAACATACTTTTGTCATGGTCATTCATCCTAAATCTACAAGTTAGATAGGACAAGTGTCTTGAATCAAAAAGTATGATTTTGAGTCCAAAAATCAAAGAGGTGGGTTCTTTGAGTGCCCAAAAATGTTGAAGTACACTAGCATATGGAGATTATCTTAGAGAGGAAGAAACTCATAAAATTTATTGATTGAAAATTAGAATGCCTCTTAGGCTACGTAGGGTACCTTTAAAAAGGTTGAAGTCTACTGATTAGGCATTTAAATTTTAATTTCAAATGAAATTTTAAAAAAAAGAAAGAGAAGAAGAATAAAAAAGAGAAAAAGAATAAAAGGGACAAATAAAAATACAACGAGCTAAAAATGGAAATATGAAAAGAGAAATCTAAATATGGGCATGTCCTAAAACATGTTTTGTTATGAGTTCAATTATGTAATTGAGCTAACTCCAACTTCTACTCCACTTGATATTGACCTTAAATGGGCTACATCAATTTCTCATAATTACCTTTGCCATTTAGACATTAGAACTACAAAGGTATCATAATGACTCATTTCTAAATGCATACATATAGTCATATAGAATCATGATGTGTCCACATATTTTTTCTCTCATAAGGTCAAATTGAAAATATGGTAGGAGACAAGTGATAACTATACTTTATAGAATTTAAAGCTCAATATTCAATATTCCTTCATACATTCAAAAATGAGATCAGCAAAGCTTATGACTTGAAAATGGTGGATATGAAATGCATGGAAGTGATTAGAATAGTCAATCAACTTGTTACACTTGAATGAAAGAAAATTTTCAAAGACTTTGTTATATACCTTAACTTGAGCTTGAGCCAAAGTTTCATCAAAATATCATCATCTATAGCTTTTTGTAGCACATTATCCACTAAGCTTAGACGAATTGTGGCTAGAGTATGTTATATGTACTTTACCCTTTTTAGTCTTTCCACTTAGCTAGTAGGACTTTATTGTCTTTGAAAGCCTTGCTCAATCCCTATTATACTAGTAATGATTTCATTTTTAGCCATCAAATATTTAAGTTATTCGTCTTTCCATTGAATATTGCGGTGCCAAACTTCATGGTTGATGTAATACTTAAATGTTATCAACTATGAACACAAATCAAACACAAAACACTAACTCTAATACTAATTTGTTAGAGCAAAAGTCTAATTTTAAGTTGTGAAATAATGTTCACATGATTTATATGATGAGAAGTAAAAAAGAGAGAAAGGATCCACTCACAGTAAAAATACTGACACAAGAAATCTTTAAGTTGTTTAGAGATTGGCCTCTTATATTTACAGTAGACAATGAAAGCTTTGCTAGATGAGAAATGAATACAAAAAATTATCATCCAGAACCCAATAAATAAATCCTTAATCTGTCTTCAAAGCATTCACAAACCAAACATGAGATCTCTCCTTGTAACTCACTCTTAAGCTCTCTCTAATGAAATACTCTAGTGAGGAGAGGGGCCCTTCATTTATAGTCAGTTGGGATGATCTTGAGAAATGCGTCTTATGTCAATGTCCTCAAGAAAGGTGTCACGTGTGGGCCATTTCGATAAGCAATAGTCAAATAGGCTGTTTCCTCCATATTCTCAAACCGCTTCAGATATTATCAAGTCGTTCTCATTCCACCTGCTCTGCCCACAAATGGGTTGTTCTCGTCCATGAGAATCGGTTAGAAGACGGATCATTTCTCCCTCTCCCAGATGATGACTTCTCCCTGCTGTGTTAAATATGACCATTAATGGGCAGTTTGAGAGGCCAAGCCATATTAATAACATAGCTCCACCTGGATTGACCCAACCCTTGGTTTTGACAAGTCAATTGACGTCCTTTTTGGATTAGCTAGTTATGTGGTGACCTTGAAATTACGACGCAACACCGTTACTCTGGCTTTATAGCATGTCAAAGACGAAACAAGTCAACCTGCGGGACAAGTTAACTCGGAAGATGATCTACTCGGGCTGCTCATCCATGAGTATTCAAGAATAATTACTTTTTCTTAGGAGATGAATGTAAGCAGCCCTAATGAGTTGTAGGTGATGTTCCATGAAGCTCAGATAGCCCGCTTGGTTTCTAATTTAAGTTAAAGTTTTTCCATCATTTGCTTCAGAGCTGAGATTTCTTCAATTATCGAGGGTACATCATTCTTAGGGTTCTAGTTGTCCGGGGAAGACTAATGCAAACGCACCACGAGAGATACAGAACAAGAGAGGGAGAGGGAGGCGAGAATAGAGGGGCACACCAGATTTAACGTAGCTCTGAGAGACCTTAGCTCTGATGTTCTAAGGTCGGATATGGATCCTGTTCTTTCAATGGAGAATTGTCTTACGGCCGTCGGGGGGATAATAGACAATACTCGCACACCATACTCGCACGCATTCTAGCAGAAGCGACGACTTCCCCCTTTATTATCTCATGGGGTTAGGGAAAATACATGGGGACAGATGCTCCTAAAACCAAATATTACATAGTTGAATCTGCATACTCACTGAAGAACTCATTTGAGATCACTAGGACCCAATAGATCATTCTCCAGGAACTCCACGCGTACATGATGGCCACAAGAGGGAGTCTGGGCACGGGGACACCATCACCAAACCATATTGCTCCTATGACTTCCTTCTTCCCCCTTTCTCTCATAGTACCTTGATCGGGGCTCCCTTTGGTTTTTGAATGAATGTCTGCGACGATTCTACAGCGGGGGAGGGGGGGGGGAATGGTGTCGTCTGAGTGTTGGATTGAGGGGGCGGGAGAATCCAACGACGGGGAGATCATGAAGAACTCACTTGAGCCTTTTTGTAATGCACGAGTTTCGACAAAAATAGCTAAATAGAAAGGACTGCGCTGCTGAGTTGAGGTCAACGGCACGACGAGATAATCTTATTGACGATCTCCGGCAGGAGATCACACACGAGAGACGCTTCTTCGTCGTATCCACGGATACATCAAGATTGTGGAAGGCCTCAACGATGGGTATAATTGTCGAAGGCCTCCTAGTCGAAAGTTGATCCTTATCCGGATTCGGCCCTTCGAAAGGCAAACGATGGATGCTACGGCTTCAACTAGCCGATTCAACGGGCGATGGGACGACGGAACCCTTCTGCCGTTATCAACGTTTGGTCGACATTTTAATTAGAGAGAGACTAAAACCCGCTCAATTAAGTTTAGAGAGAGAGAGAGAGTTATGGGAACTACACATTGATGAGGGAGAAACGGATGGGTAGACGAGAATACAGCAGGAGTCAAAGCCAGGCTGCCATCTGGACGCCGTCACATTAATTAATTAGAAGCTAGAGAGGCATTCGACTTGTGCGCGTTTGTGGGTCCCTCTCTATCCCTCTCCCCTTGATGGGTCGAAGGTTACAGCCGCCGTGTGGGTTGGGGGGGTTGGGGGGGGGGGGGGATGTTGTTTGCTGACCTGTGGAGCCGTGCGGTGACTCCCTCTTTATATTATTTCTCTCTTCCGTTCGTGCAGTCCAACGAAGTCTCTTCTTCGGAGAGACAAAGAAGAGGCGGGAGACGCCAGGCTAGGAACTCGTTCTATTCCTCCCCCAGCCCTCCCTCCCCCCCCTCTCTCTCTCTCTCTCTCTCTCTCTCTCTCTCTCGCTCTCTCTGTTTCTGCTGGCGAAACCAAAGGTGCTCCATCTCTCTTTATCTTTGTGTGCAGTCCAAGGTTTTTGTTTTTTTTTGTTTTTGCTTTTTTTTCTCGTTCCTTGTCCTTGAGGAGGCTCCTGCGTTTCGGATTTCGTTCATCTGGGCTCCGGGATTTCTGTTTCCGAGCGTCAACTATGGTCCTCGCCGTCCCTCTGGATCTTCTTTCGCGGCGGCTGGCGCTGCCGCTGCTTTTCCTCTCCCAGAGGGCTCCTTCAGTTAGATCTGCATCTGGAGCCTGCTGCTGATGCCTTGAGTTTCTGGGCTCGGTCGTTCCCGTCGCTATCGGCGGCTCCATCGGAGACATGGCTGTTCATCGGGTGCTAGACGCATCAGGAGTGGGGGAATTTCAGTTCGACCCGAGTGGCGCCACCGGATTAATTTGAATGAACGGGAATATGCCGTTCTGGGTCATGCCGAAAGTGGGGTTCGCGAGGAGCACGGCCATCTCCACTTCATCCTCGGAGAAATGTAACTCCCCTTGAAAATGCCCGCGGGATCACGGCCGCTCAAAGGCACAATTTCATGGCCGCTCGATAATCTATCCACAAACGGCACCCTCTTCGATTCTCAATCGCTCATCCTCTTCGATTCTCCGTTTCCCCTCTTCGATCCGCCATCGCTTCCCTGGTTGTCCTGCTCGCCCGCGGGCGTGATTTTATCTGTCAAGGGCTCGAATTGATGCTCTCTAAGCTAGTTTCTATTCGATGCTCTTTCGTAGGAATGGGAACCCTCATACGCTGCGCTGTCGCCTCCAGATATTTGATGAGGAACTCCACTTCTTCCTACCTGCTGTGGAGATTGCGGCGGCGACAGCAGCTGACTAGGTGATTAATAGGAAAGATTCCTTGGTCTGGCCCAACATTGACGACGTATTCGCCTTTATCCCCTCAAATGCAACGAATACGGCGCCATGTTTATGAACCTCTGAAGCTCGGCGGGCCGGAATCTCGCCCATCCCTATCATCTGTGACCTCCCCACGGCCATGATCATGGGCCTTAGATGCTTGAAGATAAGGAGATGGTCCGGAATTGGGGTGATAGCGTGCCTCTTCGTTTTCCTTGTTCTGAGGTATGCTGCTGTGGATAATCCCCTCGCAGAGGTGCTGATATCAAACCCTCTCTTCCGCAATGCGTCGGATTATCTACACTGGAGGAGTGAGACTGGACTGCCGGCTGTGCAAAATCCGGAAACAGGCTCTCAACTGATTTCAACCCAGAAAATAGTCTTCTCTTTGTTCAGGAAGCAGAATTTTTCGGAGGAGGAGCAGCGGTCGTTGCAGACATGGAGCCGCTTCAGACACTTCGTTGACCATCCTGGAGGCCTGCCCAATGCCATGGAGGCCATCAAGGAAGCTACTTCTACATGGGGAAACCTGGTGCATGAGGTCCTCAAGAAAAAGCGACTGGAAGCCGCCAATGGAACCCAGAAGTCGAGGGAGAAGCAGTGCCCATATTCCATCAGAAGAATGGATGTCTGGGCAGTCAATGGCAGTTCGTTCAAGCTGAAGATCCCCTGCGGCCTGGTTCAGGGCTCTTCTATTACTGTTATCGGCACACCTACTGGCCTTCTAGGTGATTTTAGGATCGACTTGATGGGCGCCACACTTCCAGGCGACCCGGAGCCCCCGATTGTCCTGCATTGCAACGTCCGTCTCATGGGCGACAAGGCCACCGATGATCCTGTAATCGTTCAGAACTCATGGACTCCAGCCAACGACTGGGGCCCCGAGGAACGCTGCCCTTCTCCCACTCCTGATGACAAGAAAGGTACCGGTCCATCCCCGCTTCCCCGTTTTGTCCGTCTTCCAAGAAAAACCAGTTCTTGATGGCGCTTCTTTCCATCCGAATATGTATATCCCCATGAATTATAGCCCACTGACATTTGAGTCTCTTCTGGCTTTCGGGCTCTATCTGTCGGTCTCTTCTGCACCCTTTCCAGTGGATAATCTAGACAAGTGCAGTCAAGTGGTGGGCAAAGATGAGATGCCGGTGCCCACGCCGAGGAAAGCTTCTGAAGCTTCGAGGGCGTTCTCTGCTTCCAGCGAACTGCCCAAGCGCGGACCTTTCTTTCCGTTCAGACAGGGACATCTGGCAATCACCACTCTGCGAGTCGGGGCGGAGGGAATCCAGATGACTGTTGATGGGAAGCACATAACTTCATTTGCTTACCGCGAGGTATCTGCATCTCAACCACCCAGACCATATTCTTCACTGGTTCACACATCTTCTGGTTCGACCCGTGGGAGAGGTTGGCTTGGCATGACTGCTGGATTGGCGGCTGACGCTCTTTGTGGTGACAGAGCTTGGAGCCCTGGCTTGTGAGCGAGGTGCGGATCTCGGGAGATTTCAAGGCAATATCTGTTCTGTCCGTTGGTCTTCCGACGTCGGAGGATCTGGAGCATGTCGCGGACTTTAAGATTCTCAGATCCCCCCCTCTGCCCCTTCGTAAGCCACTGAGCCTGTTCATCGGCGTGGTTTCCACAGCGAACAACTTCAAACGCAGGATGGCCGTCAGGAGATCGTGGATGCAGTTTGATGCGGTGAAATCTGGAAGAGTTGCAGTCCGGTTCTTTGTTGGCCTGGTGAGCCTCCTCTGGCCCTTTCTCGCTCTTCTTTTCTCCTGCGCTCTGCAAGAAACTGTTTCTTCTCCGGGTGTTTCTGACTGCTCTGGCAAAACAATTTGGGTCCCCTGGGCAGCACAAGAACCAGATGGTGAATGAGGAGCTCTGGAGCGAAGCCCGTGCGTATGGGGACGTCCAGCTCATGCCGTTTGTGGATTATTATTCACTCATCACCTGGAAGTCCATAGCCATCTGCATCTTCGGGGTCTGCACATTTCTTGAGGCTGCCCGTGTTTCTTCCCATCCACCCCCCCGCCGTCCTCCGTTGACTTGGGTGGAAGCCCGAGTAACTCACTCCTGGCCTGCTTTGCTTCGACAGACCGAAGTTGTGGCCGCCAAGTTCGTCATGAAAGCAGATGACGATTCCTTTGTGCGCGTGGATGAGATCCTGAGCTCGTTGCACCAGGGGAATGTGACCCGTGGGCTTCTGTTCGGCAGTGTCGACTCGGATTCTCGGCCGCAAAGGAGCGCCGATAGCAAATGGTACATAACCCACGAGGTAGAGCTCCAACATGCCTGATAAAGTTGACTTTTTTCTCGTTTTTTTTTTTTTTCATTCTGCTCTTGTATAATCTTCACGCCGCCGTCGCTCTTTGAAATGAATGAAGGAATGGCCGGAAGAAAAATACCCTCCATGGGCGCACGGCCCTGGCTACGTGGTCTCCAAGGACGTCGCGGAGTACGTCCACCGCGGCCACCGGAGCGGTCAACTCAAGGTAAAGATGAAGACCCCTCCCCCCCCCCTCACCCGGTTAACCACGGTGGCGGACAAATATGGACGATCGCTCCACCGAATTGGCCGCCTGGTTTTTATCTGCCTATTTCGTTCCACCCAACTAACTCCCTGGTTTTTTGCCTGCCGATTTCGCCAGATGTTCAAGCTGGAGGACGTCGCGATGGGGATATGGGTCTCTGAGATGCAGAAGGAAGGTGCCGCCATCCGGTACGTGAATGATGATAGGATCTACAGCGGGGGGTGCGAGCCCGACTACATTGTGGCACACTACCAGGGGCCGAGAGACATGCTGTGCCTGTGGCAGAGGCTGCAAGAGACTCGCCTCCCAACGTGCTGTGGCGAGCGGTGACGGTGCCGCCGCCGGCAGAGAGGAGGAGAGGAGGCGGGGGGGGGTCACTTGATGGCCCCCTTGTTCCCCTCTTGAGCAATTTTGGTGTGGCGCAGTCGGGCGGGACCGCCGGTGATTCATTTCCACCGTTACCCGTGCCGTCGCTAACCTTGAAGGATGTATTAATGGCGATCATGGTGGTGGAGACGGGAAATCCTGTGTAAAGGAGAGGGGGCCCATGGAGGCCCTGTATCTTACTGAGGGAGACGATCTTTGTAGATATGACGATGGGTTCGGACGCAATGGCGGGAGGAAGATTCGTCCTTTTATTTCTTTCTTACCCATGCTTAATCCACCGAGCACCGGATTCTTCACTGAGTACCCGGTTGGGCGGCGGCGGCGATGCCTCGGCTTCCGGCACCGGAAGTCAACTTGATATGGAGAGAGACGACGGACGGACGAAGGTGACAGACTGAGCGAGCATTAAATACATAGTTTTCGTCCCTCGTCGGATGGTCTGCGTCGATTGCAAGACGACGACGGCGACACAGTAGAGAGAGAAACAAGGCCTTTTTCTTTCCAGCTACTAGCCAAAAGGATAGTCGGTGGGCAAGTCCGTGCTGGCCCCTCAGGCCGAGCCCCCTCCCTCCTCCCCACAATCGTCCTTCACCTCAAAGGTAGAGGATGGATTTTCATGGCGGCCGCTGGAGTGACAGGCAAATGACGAGAAGGGCGCGGGGGGAGGGGGGGGGTTACCTTTCTTGCACTGGATGGCTGAGGGGGGCGGGGAGAGACGGGGGACTCAACTCACGAGTAGATGCCGATCTTGTTCATCTCGTTGCGGAGGGCGTTGGCGCGGACGAGGCAGCCGATGGTCTTTACGGCGAGCTTGAGGTCCTCCAGGGGGGTCCCGGGGACGACCCGCTTGTAGAGGTAGCTGTCGAAGGTCATCTTCTGCACGTACTCGTCGGCGCACATCTCCACGAAGGCCTCCTTGGCTGGGTTGGAGCGGTAGAAGACCTTCTGCAACACGTCGAGCACCTTGTAGGTGGGCCAGTAGAGCTTGTCGAACTTGGCCAGGTACCGGCGGAGATCGGCCTCTGTGATCGTCCTCGTCCCATTCTCGGACCCCCTGACGATCTCCTCCGCGCACATCCGCCCGCTCTTCGCCGCGAAGTAGATCCCCTCGCCGGAGCACTTGGTCACGTACCCGGCCGCGTCCCCCACCAGCGCCACCTGGTCCACCGCCCTGCGCAGTCAGACACAACGACACAGCTCTCAGCTCAGATCCCCGATTCTCAGGCGAGCCAGCTGAACCAGTCAGTTAAGGTTTCAGGGGGTTGGAAGAAGTGGGGGAGGGAGGCAGCTCTCCCACTTTCTCTCTCTCTCCCCTCTCTCTCAGATTCCCGATTCTCAGGAGAGCTACCTGAACCCAGTCAGTTCAGGGTTCAGAGGGTTGAGAGGGGTGGTGGGTGGGTGCTTACCGGCGGGGGCGGGGGTGCTCGGGGATGGGGTGGGCCTCGACGCGGAAGGTGACGGCGCCGTCGATCTTGTCGCCGGCGCGGTTGCGGGTGGCCTCCTGGAGGAGCTTGATGTCGCCCTTGTGGGTGACAGTGCCGGTGCCGACGGCGACGTGGTCCGACTTGGGGAACACCCACGCGTAGAAGTCCGGCGACACGTCCAGCCCCACGTACATCTCCGCCCTCTCCTCATAGTACTCCATCTTCTCCGCCGGAATCCTCATCCTCTCCTGCCCCCACGCGCCAAAACCTCAGTGCCCACCCACCTGTAGATCTGAAAAAAATCCGCCCCCCAAATCGGCGAAGAAGAGAAAAAGTTCCATTTTTTTTATTCGGGTACCTGGAAGGCGATGGCGAACTCGTAGTTGCCGGCGCCGATGGACTTGGCCACGCGGGAGTTGGCCCCGTCGGCGCCGATGACGGCGTCGACCTCCAGCGTCACCGGCTCACCGACGGCGCGGCCGTCGTACTTGTTGTAGTGGACTCGGTAGCGCTCGCCGGGGCCGGCGGGCTTGTCCATGCGCAGGAACAGGCCGTTGACGAGGGTGGCGCCGCTCTTCTCCGCCCGCTCCCGTAGGTAGCTGTCGAGAACCTCCCGCCGGAGCATGCCGATGTACTCGTCCGGCTTCAGGGTCCGGCCGATGTCCACGGAGACGTTCGAGGGGGAGATCATCTTCATCTTCCTCACCCGCCGGTCGATGATGTCCTGCGGCAGATCGAACTCCCCCACCATGCACAGCGGGATGGCCCCCCCGCAGGGCTTGCAGTTGTCCATCTTCCGCTCGATCAGCACCGTCTCCACCCCGCCCTTCGCCAGCGTCTCCGCCGCGCAGCCCCCCGCCGGCCCCCCGCCGATCACCGCCACCCGCAGGCGCCGTCCCGCCGGCAGCTTCGGGTTGTTGGAGGCCCGCACGGTCAGCGCCGCCCGCCCTCGCCCCCGCCGCCCGGTAGAGGACGGCAGCTGCAGGCTCTCGGCGTTCGGTGCGCGGCGGAGCCCCGCGAAGGACGGCAGCGCGGCATGGCGGCGGGCCGGGGTGGCCGTGGCGGCGGAGGAGAGGGCGGCGGCCGCCATTGCTGCTTCAGCTTGAGCTTCGAGCTTCTTCAGTAGTCTTCATATCGATCGATCGGGGTTTTTAAGATACTGCCCCTCTGGATAGGGGGGACTTCGGATTTCGGGCGTCGTGACCGTCGGATCTACAAACATCGACGGACAGGATCTCTTCAGGATAAAGTGGGGGATTGCCCTCGGAATCTCTTAGAAATTTTCCGGAGAAGGAAGATATTTCGCTCCCTATTTTTTCTTTTCGGGTGGCTGCTGTTCGGACACGACACCCCCCCAGCCTCGCGTGTGGATGAGCTTCGGCGGCCGCGCAGAGCGCGACACGTGGATTCCCCTTGGCCCCCAGTCGATACAATGTATCCCCGCCGACCTAATGGGCTTATTAGGCTGGCACGAACCAACGGGCCAAATCAGCCATGAATGGCTGGCGGCCCAAAAGCCCAACTTCCCCGCCACCGCCCATTCTAATGAAGTCCGCCTTCCCCGTTGACTCTTACCCACCGTGGCGATGGGGACGGTAAAGACGTCAGGAACAGTGCGGCCTCCACCGCCCTCCTCACGATCCAACGCGTGAGGTGAAGTCATCACCTGGACTCGGATTTCTTCATCTTACTCAGACTGTAGATGAAGGGACCTGCGGCGATGTCACGCCTGTAAATTATTCCCGGTAAGTCTGGAAGTCATCGCATCTGGTTACTGCCATCCGCAAAGTCAACACGGAATAGAAAAGTGCGGTCGTCGGCCCTCAGCAGCCCTTCAGGCCTCGGAGAGGCTCAGCCCGGCGGACCGGGTCAACTCTCTCTCTCTCTCTCTCTCTCTCTCTCTCTCTCTCTCTCTCTCTCTCTCGCCCTCCCTGCCTCCCTTTCTCTCTCCCTCTCTCTCCTCCTCTCCTCTCTCTCTCCCCCTCTCTCTCTCTCTCTCTCCCTCCCTCCCTCCCTCCTCTCTCTCTCTCTCTCTCTCTCTCTCTCTCTTCTCTCCCTCCCTCCCTCCCTCCTCTCTCTCCCCTCTCTCTCTCTCTCTCTCTCCCCCTCCCTCCCTCCTCTCTCTCTCCCCCTCTCTCTCTCTCCTCTCCTCTCCCTCTCCTCCCTCCCTCCTCCCTCTCTCTCTCTCTCTCCCCCCTCCTCCCTCTCTCTCTCTCTCTCTCTCTCTCTCTCTCTCTCACTCCCTCACTCCTCTCTTCTCTCCCTCCCTCCTCCCTCCCTCCCTCCCTCTCTCTCTCTCTCTCTCTCTCTCTCTCTCCCTCCTCTCCCTCTCCTCCCCCTCCTCCTCCCCTCTCTCTCTCTCTCTCTCTCTCTCTCTCCCTCCCTCTCTCTCCCCTCCTCCTCTCTCTCTCTCTCTCTCCCCTCCTCCTCTCTCTCTCTCTCTCCCCTCTCCTCCCTCCTCTCCCTCCCTCCTCTCTCTCTCTCTCCCCTCCCTCCCTCTCTCTCTCTCTATCCCCTCCCTCCCTCCCTCTCTCTCTCTCTCTCTCCCTCTGTAAATGGTGTAGAGAGAGGGGGGGAGCGAGAGAGAGAGAGAGAGGGAGGAGCTCTCCAAATCCAGAGCACTATTTATATGCATGTTTCTGACGGTCGTGGCCAGGGATCGAACCCATCAGCGCACCCACAGTGTTCCGTAGGGACAGAGAAAGGGCTCTCCTGAGGGTTTTGCGTGAAAGACGACCAAGCTTTCTTCCTCCTCTTCCTCTGATGGTACAGGGGATGGCGAGCAGATGCGAGGTTCCTTGAGGATTACGGAACTGTCAGCGCGATAAACTCCCTCGCCTTCGAACTCGACGACCGCCGCTCGTCATCTTTCTTTCTTTATTCGGGATCTAACCCTACCAAGATAATGACCTGACACCCATTTGTGTTATTTACTAGCTCTCTCTCTCTCTCTCTCTATATATATATATATATAACTACCTCTCTCTCTCTAAATATCTCTCTATCTCTGTCTATCTCTGTCTGTCTTCATCTCTATCTCCTCTCGAATTTTATACAGGCATCGAGACGGAGAGAAGTCAACCGAGCGGGGGCGTAGATGAGACCAGTGCAAGAATTTGGAAGGACCGGGAGTGCGGAAGTACGCGAGCACAATCACCTCTGTTTAATGCATGGAATTTTGCATGTAATCCTATTTGGCCCCGAAAGTCAAAGCAAATATTGGGTTGACAAAGGCAAGCGTACTGAAGTGGCATCATCCACTAGAGGGCGAGATTGTCCGGGCCGTGGGAGCCCACCCCATTCATCAAAGTCATCCCCCGAAAGTTCCGGCTAAATGCGAGCTGCGAAGAGGGGGAGTCAGAGATAGAGCGAACGAGAGAGAGAGACAGAGACAGAGACAGAGAGACAGGGCAGAGAGACAGAGGGGGGGGGAAGCCCACAGGTTGAGCATGATTACACGAAATCTTAGTGAGCAAGAATTTGACTTGTTCCAATTCAAGAAAAGAAATACTAGATACTCAATCCCTTAAGCGGCACGGATAGAAGTATGACTTTCACCTACTGCTGACTTCATTGATGACGGTTCTTCAACGAAACCCCGGATATCACTCACCGGAGACCGGGTCTTGAAGTCCTCCTCTTCGTCCTTCCTCGATGCTTCTTCGCCCGGAGAATTGGCGATAAGGGAGCCCTTTTCTATATGTAGACGGTTGAAGGCCCTCTTTCGCCGTCTCCCATGCGTTCACCTCAGCGAAAGGCACTCCCATGGCCGCCTGATGGGGCTGCTCCTGTCCTGCTGGTTCATCGTCGGGACCATCCTCATCCCCAACGGGTTCGCCAGATGGAATCAGCTGAGCTTCTTCGTCCATCCCGTCCTTCTCGTGTTCTGCGAGCTGTTCCTGATCAGCAAGTACCTGGTGGGACAGGTAATCTTCGTACTGGTTTATCCGTTCAGAGTCGTCTTCCGGGCGATCTTGTTCGTCTTCAGACTGTTGAGGAGTAGGACGACCGGGTTGGTCTCGTTGGTCGTCGATGTCGTCGAAGTCTCCGACGAAGCCGACGAATCCGCCGAAGCGGAGCAGTATTTCGAAGCGCCCGGAGCAGAAGATCCTACGCGAAGCGCTGTGGTGCATGAACGGTGGGGCGGAGCCCCTGCGGGGGTGGGCTCGTCTCCGAGGAGCGTGCTCGATTACTATGAGAGGTTCTTCCCGGGAGTAAGTATCGATGTCCCCGATAAAAATAGGTATTCTGATCATCGTGTCGCGGATGAGGTATACGAGGAACGGCCTCAGAAGGGTAAGAGGAAGAGGAGAGACTCGTCGTCCGCTGCGAGTGAAAGCGGGCCGTTCTTGCTGGAGCCGGAGACAGAAATGGACGCAGAGGAGGTGTATAATGCTGAGCCTAGCGGTTTTTTTGAGAGAGAAAGCGATGATGGAGAAGACATAGAGGATGCTGCTTCCCTCGCCGCCTACCAACTGTCGTCGAGGAGGGAATGGCTCGCTGTAGAAGAATCAGGCCGCGACTTCACCTTCCCCCACATCCGAAGCAGGGGGAGCAGAAGCTATCCCAAAGGGCTCGAAGGAGTTCTTGAGAGAGAAAGAGATGAGGATCACTTCCCGAGGGATTTTCCGGTGACCGTCAGGCGACTAGAGGGCGAGAAGAGAGATGAGGATCACCACCCGTGGGCTTCTCCGGTGCACGTCAGGCGGCTAGAAGACGAGAAGGGACATGAAGATCACGTCCTGTGGTGTCCTCCGGTGCCCGTCAGGCGATTAGAAGACGAGAGGCGATTCGATCCGGAAGAAGATGGGGACAGCGAAGAGCTCGAGGCGTCCGAAGAAGAATCCGCCCAAGAGGATCCGCCGCTAGGCGAAAACTTACCGGCGGCAACATCCAGAGAGAAGGACGCCGACCACGAGGAATATGAGAAGAGGATGAAGTGGTTCGATCGAGTCAACTACGAGAGGACCCGAGGAGCGAGTGCGTCTCCAGACTTGGTCAATCGATTCCAAACTTTCGTTGAATTGGTCTGTGATTGATGATGGATACCGCTCATAATTGTGCAGGTGAAATTCTGAACATTCGGCCGGGGAATCCAAGTTTCCTGAGGAACGTAGAGGTGAGGATCAGAGCCTTCCAAGGGATGTCCATCCAGTCCCTGCTCAAGAGCATAGAGGATGGCCTGGAGATGGTCTATGTGAGTCAGACGTGCTTGTCCTGGGAGGCTCTCCATCGCCAGTACTGCAGGGCGACTGAAGCCCTCGTCGCCGCCGCCGCCGGGTCCTCCTCCGGCGCCGGCCAGGGCGTTCCATGCGCCAACACCATCTCGAAATTCCAACGGTTCGTGGTCTTGCTGGAGAGGTACATGGAGAACGAAAACAAAGAGACAAGAAGGTTCTGGAATTATTCTCAGGGGAGAATCTCCGATGCCAAGTTCCTCCAAGTTCCAGAGATCTCAGGTGATGCCTCCTCCCTTGCCAATGCCGTTGTTCTTAACCCCCCCTCTCCCTCCTCTCTCTCTCTCGCTCGCTCGTTCATACATATCTACATTTATTATCTCACGCGCATGGCGGAATCTGGGGGGGGTGCCAATAGGTCGAACCATGTCAAACCTAACGCCCGTTCGGGCGTCTTTGAAAAGGCCTGTTCTTATAAGGGGCCGCACTATAAGTCCCATAGACCCGCTTCTAGTCCGACCCCTACGAAGACCATGCCTGATTTATACCCGCCGTTGTAAAGATAGATAGATACATACATAGATACATAGATGGACTGATAGCGAGCGAGCGAGCGAGAGAGAGAGAGAGAGAGAGAGAGAGAGGAATGGGGTGCCGCTGCTTGGGCCGTAGAGTATTACGTACACACGTCGCACACCTGTCAGCATGTCACAGACACGTCGGATTTAACTTTTGCTGGATTTTACGGAGTGATGGGTTTGACTTGGCGGGTACGTAGGCGATGAGCGGAGGCCAGACGGGACGCCGGCGGCCCGCCAGGTTGTCGCCGCCGTTGAGAAGGCCGTCCAAGTCTTCTGGTCTTTCCTGCGGAGAGACGACCACCGGGCCGGCGGGATACTGAAGAAGCTGCTGTGGGTTGACCCGCAGGCGGAGGATCCCAGGGATCTGAATCTGCTGGATGATCTCAAGAAGGTGCTCCGCAAGGTCAGTAACCTTCTGTTTTACCTCGTCATGTCATGTCGTCGGCTCTATTCTTCCTCATTCATCTGATTTGGCCGAGAATTTTTTTTGCTGAGAGGATTTTATCGTCGAGTATGACCCCCGTCAAGATGATACAAAATATACAACCATTTCCCTTCTCTCACTCTCTCTTAAAATTCGACTAAAAACTCGGTCAATCCCCACCACCCTCTATAGCACTCAAGTCCCTTACCATCTCTCTCTCTCTCTCGTTTGAAATTCGGCTGAAAACACGGTCAATGTAGTAGAGAGAGAGAGAGAGAGAGGGAGTGTAATTAGATCTTTTTAAAGTCCCTCTATTCTTTCTCTCTCTACCCCCACCACCCTCTAGAGCACCATGTCCCTTACCATCTCTCTCTCTCTCTCTCTCCCTCTCTTTCTCTTTCAGCATTTATATGTAGGAAAACTGCACAGCTGAAATGCCCACAAACATGGAAAATGGGACGAAATTATCCTTAAAACCGGGCTGGTCATACAATAATCCCCGTCCGATGAAGCTCCTTTCTTCCTTCTCCTCGGGAACTCCAGGAAAATGATGTCAACGCGCTCAATCCATGATCAGATAAACTCTGGAGGGGGGGTGGGGAAAGTCTGACATAGTCAACACTGTGATGCGTGCAGAAGGAGAAGCAGCTGAAGAAGCTGCAAGGGAGCAGGTCAGCGGCCCGCCAGCTCGATTCGGAGAGGATGGAGACGCTCTTCGCCACTATCGACATCAAGCTCGTGGCGAGGGTCCTGCGGATGTCGGTCATCTCAACCCAGCAGCTCGAATGGTGCCGGCAGAAGCTCGCACAGGTGGAGATCGGGAGGGGGAACGTCCTCCGGGCCCGCGGGGAATTCCTCCCCTTCCCCTTCTCCTAGCCATGGCGATGGTGTGTACACGTCATCCTCCCCTTGTCCACGTGTGCACACCCGCCATGGCAAGCTCCGTGGTTTGCGGACGTTTTCAGTGGGCCTCAGCCCGGATCTGCTTCTCTCGATAGGCAATCATGGTGAGCTCTTGCTATTTAAGCTGATTTTTACAGGCTTTTTTCTCGTTCTTTCGTTCTTTCTATGGAGGGGGAGAGTGAAGATTCCTTCTTTTATATATATATATATATATAAATCGAATAATAAGCGAGTTTTAAGAATAGTAAGTGCTCATTTCCTATTACATGATTACATGATTCCACCTTGGTCACCGAATACTATCCTAACGATCCAATTATATTATATTATATTTATATTATATTATGTGAAAATTTGGAGCATTATTGGTACTCCCCCCTTTTCCCCGGCATCTAATATACTATCATATTATATTATATTATATTATATGAAAAAATTGAGCAGTGGAGAGAAGAGGGGGGGGTGGCTGGATCTTCTTCTCGGGCCAGTCAGTTTAAATGGGCCAGCCCCGCGGAGTGTGTTGGCCACCTGGCCCAAGAACACAGACACGATCAACGTCAAGAAATGCCGGTGGGGAGATCTGAAGCTCTGAAACACGTGGAGCTTCCATGGCGGAGAGCCCCCCCGCTTCTCATCCGTCCGTCGGGGAGGGGGGCCGGGGAAGGGATGTGGGGCTGGCAATGGTGGTGGCCCGCTTGCAGTCCCCAGTCTCTCTTCTCTGCTTCGGGAGGAGAGGACGCAGTGTGTAGTAGTGGCCAATGGAAAGGGGGAGAAATGGGCGGAGAGAAATCTCAGGCGTCCATGTTGTGGCCCTCAGATTTGGCGGCACGCCTTCGATTTGGATCCATGCGACAAATGGTCGATCGTGACACCCGGCCGGAAGCCGGCGAGGACAGGGTGATGGCCGTCGTCGTTGTAGTTTTCCATCGGAGAGCGGTGGTGGTCCTCGGCTGCCCCACCACCGCCATCCGATGGCCACACCTCTTCTCTCTCTCTCTCACTCTACTTCGTCAAATCTCTCTTCCAGCAGTGAGAGATTCCAGTGCCCCATCTCTTTGATTCTTCTAATTACCACGTTTGTCTCCGGCGTCCTTTTCAGGGATTATCTTCTCATTTGCTCTCTCTCTCTCTCTCTCGCACATACACACATACTCTCCGTTTCTATCTTTCTCGCTCTCTGTCTCTCTCTATCTATCTTTCTCGCTCTCTCTTTCTCTCTGTCTCTCTCTGTCTCTCTCTTGTCTCAGGGCATCATCTCGTTCTGATGATGATCATCGTCATCCTGAGAATCCTTTGAAAAGTCCGTGGCCTCAGCCGCTGGTTAATCTCCGCCTCAAACTCCACTCTCCCTTTCGCTCATAGCTCCTTGTGGGGCCCCGTTCGCTTCAGGCCAGCCAGTGGACAAGAAAACGCGGGTCGTTCGTTGCTCATTCTTCTCGTCTCCCCCTCTCAGCAGATCTCCTCCTCGGGATTCCACCTCAACGACGAACCACCCTGAGGCGCGAAGCCCTTCTGATTCGACCCCGCCGGCGACCGGGTGAAGGCGAGGATCAAGAGGGAAGCGCAGGAATGGCTTCTTTGGGGAGAGCTGGGCCTCTTTCTTGCTTCCTCGAGCCGTCGAACGACAAGTGTTCCTGCGTTCACAGAAGCCACGGGCAGCTGCGATCCGCCGGCTTCCATACGATCACCCGTTGCAGGTCCAATACTCTTCATCTGAACCTTCACATTGGTACATTACCGTCTCTGAGAGTGGGCGGCACCGGACAAGGCCAGTTGGGTTTTACACGGAGCGGGCGGGGGATAGATGTGCGTCGGTCGGCGCTCGGCGGGAAAGGTTCTGCTGAGGGAGAGGATTCTGGCGATGGCGGTGTGAGCGATGTAGATTTTGGCGGTGACGAGGTGCTTAAGGCGACCATTGAGAAGAGCAAGAAGGCTCTTGCCGCGCAGAAGAGCCTGCTTGAACAGGTTGCTTGCCGTCCTTTCCTCTTGCCCTGTTTTTTTGAAGGATTTTTGTGGCCCTTTTGGATATTCATTCCAGAATAAGCTTAATTCCTTAGGCTGCTGCCTCCAGCAGAGAAACTGTCATATGAGGAATTGCCTTCTTGTCCCCTTAATACCAGTTCCTGAACGATTTCTAATAGGAGAGCCATTTCTCCTTGAAAATTTGAGTCTACCAGGGAGATCGGTGGCCACATAAACTATTATTAACTGCGTTACTAGCACATCACATCCTGCTGTTGGAGGAAATGAATTAGTCATTCGGGCACATTTGAAACTATAATATTCGATTTCTCATGCCTGATTATCCTGTGATCTATTCAACTAACTCAGTAGGAATGATATTTGAATTTGGGCCCATTTCTTCTTCTTCATCTATCAATCCAGGGTAAGCTTAGAAGTTTTATGATTGTTGTAACGGTATGATCAAGAAGCATGGAATTTATAATTATATTTGCGTTCTGGCAGCTGTAGAAAGGTTCCCGTACCATCCAAAGCATCTTCATGTCGGCAATAAGATTATAGAAGGTTGTAGAGATTCTCTTTTGACTTAGGTTTATTAAACATTCTTTTGAGCTTGTTAGTCCTTCCCAAGGTTTGATACTACGTTTGTATGATGCTTCATAATTAATTTTTACTCTCTCAAAAAGAATTCCAAGCCTGACATGGCAACAATACGTTCGAGCTTTCCTATTTAATTTCAAGAACTTTTTTCTAGTGTTTATCATCACTTTCCCAACCTTTTAATACCATATACTGGTACCTTTCAATTGGATAGTTGATGAATCCATTAAGGTAACCTCAGGTTGATGGAGAAGGACATGTACCTTCTGACTGAAATATATATAAATATTTATATTTAATGGAATCTTTAGAATACTACCTATAATTATGCTTTTGGACAAATAATCTTTTAAGGAATGATAATCCGAAATGGAAATGACCAGCAAGATCACTGCCTTAATCCTGATTTTGGCATCATGTTGTGATGAGATTAGAGAGTGTAATAGCAGACTTGCATTCCCAATTTCTGTAATTTTACACTAACCGAGGATTCTAGATCTGCTGGTATGTGCACGTGCTTGGGTGCGGCTCTGTTTCTATAGGGGACACATTTGTTGTGCTGTATAATGGATTTGTTATAATTGAGGGTCGATATTTATATGGTTCCTTATAAAACTTATCTGAGCATACTATTAACTTCCCGTATGAATCAAGTCTCTATATTTATGTGTGCTATAATTCTGTGTCGACTAAGGATTCTAGATCAGGTGATATGTGCATGTTCTTCTATGCAGCTGTGTTTCGATTCCCCTTTTATGATTCACTAGAAAAGTTATCAAAACGTGCCATTAACGTTTTATTTTTATTGAGTCTCAAGGTGATACATGGTTATTTGCGTATTTATCCATAAGATAATTGTTCTGAATGAATGGATGCCCTTACAAGGTGTTGGTCGTCAGCATCCTTAGCTTCTAAAGTAGTGTACATTTCACTCAGCGAATTTGAACTGCAATTTTCATGATATGAATAGATTTCTCCTTTCTCTCAAAGTTTCAATGATGAGAAAAATATGTATTATGATCATAAAAGCTAATTTACCTTTACCTTGGACCATAGAAACGTAAAATACCCTAGAATTCTTCAATTTCATTTAGATCGCCCAGCCAATTGATTTCATCTACCTAACTTGAAAAACGGATAAAAGTATTTATCGAGAACTTGTTTGGAACAGATGTTTCATCATCTTTTCATTGAGACACTCAGGACTGCTGATTTATTTTATCCAGAATTTAATTAAAATTTTTATACTTGTCTAGCTAAGTGTTAATTAAATCTGATACTTAGCTACTTATAAGAAAGTCTGATTTATTGATTTTGATGTTCTACTGAATCTTTTTAATTTGTCTGAGTTATAAAATGACCTTTGTTTTCTCCAGATTGTCGAGAAGAGAAAAGTTGTCTCTTCAACAAAAGAAGGCACTAGCAACACAGGAAGAAGTACTGTGGCCTATAGTGAAAGTGATGGCTCTTCCCAAGATTCATATTCATCTTCAACTAGTGGGAGACCCAATAAGAGTGATATAAATCTTTCTTACTCGAATCAGAATGGCCAAGTAGAAATCTCGGTTGGTGAAGAAACCTCGATTGCAGAATCTCTTGGGCTGATCAGAGAAGCCAGTTTGGAGGTTTCTAAATCTGAGGCAACGCCATCTTCAAATACGACCGTTTTGAATTCTTCTACTATAGATGATCAACTCGAGGAGTCCCAAGAAAAAAACAAAGCCAGTGAGGATGATGAAGTGGATGTGGCTCCTGAGGAAGAAAATCTGAAGCCCCCCCCCTTGGCTGGGGAAAATGTTATGAACATCATCTTGGTAGCTGCAGAATGTGCTCCTTGGTCCAAAACTGGTAATCACTTTCTTATCAAAACTGCAGAATGTTTTTAGTCGATGTCTGATTTCTTATCGTTTTGCAGATCCATGGTCATTTTTTTTCTGAATCTATCCCTTATCTATGGTGACATTGACTCCTTCCAGGTGGGCTTGGAGATGTTGCGGGGGCCTTACCAAAGGCTTTGGCGAGGCGTGGCCACAGAGTTATGGTACCCACATCTTTCCTTTTATTTGTTTCATATGGCTAAGCGGTTATAATTTTTATGGTCTGTCTAGATACTGTCTATGATTTTATCAAGTTTATGAAGATTTGGTCAATTTCAAGTTGGAATTTATCTGAGCTACTTTAGGTAACCGAAAGGTCACATTAACCCTTTTTTTTTTCCTTGTCTTCTTCTTCCTTTGAAAGGTTGTGGTACCCCGGTATGGAAACTACTCTGAACCTCAAGATATAGGTGTTCGTAAGTATTATAAGGTGGACGGCCAGGTAAAGTGTCACATTGAGTAGTGCACTTTCAATGTCGTACTATCTATTTAACCCACCCCTTATTTCATTCATTAAATAGGACATGGAGGTAACGTTTCATCACGCCTTCATTGATGGCGTGGATTTCGTTTTCATGGATAGTCCGGTTTTTCGCCACCGTGAGAATGCCATATATGAGGGGAACCGTGTGGTAAGCTTCTCCTTTAATGTCTCATTGAACTCGCTTCTTTTGCCCCTCCCTTCCCCCCCCCCTCCCTTTTTCTTTCTTTTTTTTTCTTTCCCACTTGTCAATTCCTCTTGTATTTTTGCTTTGGGTGCAGGACATATTGAAACGAATGGTTCTCTTGAGCAAGGCAGCTGTCGAGGTGCTTAATCCTTTTTGTTTTTTTTTTCTATTTTTCCCCTGCTTTGTCCTCCATCAAAAGGGTGTGCTTTAGTAGACAATGAAAGAGTTCAACGATCACAGCACAGGATGTGCTATTGAGTCTCTCTATCATGTTTAAAGCTCAATTAGCTATATATATCATATTGTCTGAAGCCGTAGACGTTCCACAGTTCTATGCTCTCAATCGTACATCCATCCCAGTTTAGACAGCAAGGCCTTTTCATTCTTTTTAAAATATCTGTCTTTGACAGATCTTTAGGGCCATATTCATCATACCATGGTTCACAAAGGTGGTGCCACATTTTACTGCAAGTTGGGATTTATTGCAATTTAGTGGGATTTATCTGCGCAGGTTCCTTGGCACGTTCCATGTGGCGGAGTCTGCTATGGTGATGGAAATCTGGTCTTCATTGCTAATGACTGGCATACTGCGTTGCTGCCTGTTTATCTGAAGGCTTACTATCGTGACAATGGTATGATGAAATACACCCGGTCCGTTCTCGTCGTACACAACATCGCTCATCAGGTCCGTTTTTAAAAGCTTTTTCGTTTGTTTATTTTGTTGGAGCGAACAAAGCATCTCTCTCTCTCTCTCTCTCTCTCTCTCTACCCGTGTTATGATAAACCCATGGATATGGGGGGGATTACTGATAAGCCCTCATATATCGGAGAACACTGAACCCTCGAATGACTGATGGGCGCGGTGAAGATTCGTTAATGGTGGTTCCCCCATCAGCTAGAACTGTAGATAGCTCACTGTTGATCTCTGGAACTGATGCATCTTCTGATGTGCGGCCGATCTGAAAAAATGCAGGGGCGCGGCCCGCTGGAGGACTTCGGTGTTGTAGATCTCCCCGGCCATTACATAGATCTTTTCAAGCTGTACGACCCAGTGGGAGGCGAGCACTTCAACATCTTCGCGGCCGGCTTGAAGGCGGCGGATCAGGTGGTCACCGTGAGCCACGGGTACGCGTGGGAGCTGAAGACCTCGGAGGGCGGCTGGGGCCTCCACGAGATCATCGGCGAGAACGACTGGAAGTTCCGGGGCATCGTGAACGGGATCGACACCGAGGACTGGCACCCGGCGGTGGACGTGCACCTCCAGTCCGACGGCTACACCAACTACACAGTGGAGACGGTCCAGGAGGGGAAGGCGCAGTGCAAGGCGGGGCTGCAGCGGGAGCTGGGGCTGCCCGTCCGGCCGGAGGTGCCCCTCGTTGGTTTCATCGGGCGGCTGGACCACCAGAAGGGAGTGGACATCATCGCGGAGGCCATCCCCTGGATGGCCAGCCAGGACATGCAGCTGGTGATGCTGGGCACGGGGAGGTCGGACCTGGAAGACATGGTGCGGGGGTTCCAGGGCCAGTACGGCGACAAGGTCCGGAGTTGGGTCGGGTTCTCAGTGAAGATGGCGCATCGGATCACGGCCGGCGCCGACATCCTGCTGATGCCGTCGAGGTTTGAGCCGTGTGGGCTGAACCAGCTCTATGCCATGGTGTACGGGACTGTGCCAGTGGTGCACGCGGTCGGCGGGCTGAGGGACACGGTGCTGCCTTTCAACCCCTTCGAGGAGACCGGGCTCGGGTGGACCTTCGACCGAGCGGAACCTGGGAAGCTGATACACGCCTTGGGCAACTGCTTCAACACTTTCTGGAACTACAAGAAGAGCTGGGAGGGGCTGCAGAGGCGCGGGATGACGCAGGACCTCAGCTGGGATCATGCCGCCCAACTCTACGAGCAAGTCCTTGTCGCTGCCAAGTTCCAGTGGTGACTGAAAAGCGAAAAGCTCCGACGACCCCACCCAGCCTCTTCCTTTCCGTCTAGCGAGAGAGAGAGAGAGAGAGAGGACATGATTGTGCCTTTTGATTCAGAATGGTCTCGATTCATGTTCAGTAGAAGCACCCTGTGCCGGTATGGCTTCTGTGCTTTTGGGGTGGAGCAGACCGCCTCGGCGTTCTAGCAAAGAACCGGTTCAATCTCTCGTTGATCTCGAGAGAGATGGGAATTATGTAAACATGATGACCCTGGTACATGGTCCGATTAGATTCCATATGGTACAGGCGGACACAGGCGGACACAGGCGGACACAGTCACACGGATTGGGCCCAAGAGGTGGGTGGGTCCTTCCTCTCTATGGCCTCTTCTCCCCTGCCATCCTCCTCATCTCCCCGTCACATGCTCCCAGTTGAGTCCGAGGGTGGAAGGATCCAAGACTCGCCCGGTGACGGTGCTTCAGAGATTCCTCGACATGCAGAAAGTGACTAGCCTTCCAGCCTCTCGGGCAATGCCTCCGCGTTGTCTCCATCTACTATCCCCGAGTGCCGCCACCACCCGTCGAATTATAATTTGTTGATTTCCATGGGGACGACGTCCGGCGTATCTAAAGCTTGTACTTAATTATTTTATCAGTGAGCAGAGCTGACGGGACCTCGCAGAGGAAGAGGACGACCCGTGTGGAGATAGCGGGCGGAGATAGACACACCCACCCTTGGGCCTGGTCTCGAATCGATTCGCCTCGCTCGTGGAGGTGTCCACGACCGGATTCCTTGGAGCCTTCCATATAGTTCCAGGGAGATTTTCATTAATTAGCTTGTGGAACTCTTTCTTAGGAGGGTTTGGGTTTAATGTCAGGTTGACATTTTAGCGACGAAGAAAGGGTGCTCGACGGAGGAGACAGCAAGGAGAGTGCGGCTAAGATGGGAGCTTCGTCGCCGTCTCCCCCACCCGTGACCAATAATTGTACCAGACCACGCCGCCATCCCACGTTTCTGTCTACATCCTTCGCCATTTTGTTCTTGATCAGCTCCGTCGCATAGCGGCCAAGGGCTTCTCCCATGGACCGGTGGTGACTAAAAAATGGTCACACGTTGCGGGGCCGGAGATGGCGGAGTTCCCACGAGATGGCCGGGGCTGTGACCGGGGGGGTTCGTTGAGCAAATGGCAGGGGACAGCGAACCAGGGAGGTACTGAGAGGGAAGGCGGGGGGGGATGTCCTGCCGTTGATTAAGAAGAGCTCGTGCTCCGTGGAGTGAACGGGTCCAAGTCCAGATCTTGGGTCCACCTTAAAGATGTCATGATGGGAATCAAAGAGACCTGCAGGCTGGTTTGTTCGCTTATTCCTTCTCCATCGGAGAGAGGAATCTTTCTCCGGCCACGGAAGCATGGTGAGTAGATCTCGTGCGCTGGAGACGACTGAATAAGAAGATGGATAGATCGGTCAACTGGTCGGCGGAGCATCACCACACTCTACCTATTCGCCACCATGGAGGAGGTCACCTCGGCGATAACTCATCCCAGTCGAGACTATAAGCGGGAGATCGTCATTGCGGAAACGAGTGGGATCACACAGATTGAAGCCCAGAAGACGTCTCCGAGTCCCCCAGGTAGGGAGAACTGAGCCAATTAAATGTTCAGGTCGCGCAGGGAGGGCACGAGAGGACGTGAGGTCCTCGTGTTCATCATCTCTGAAGGAGAAGGGAGAGCGTCTGCGCCCTTGCCGCAGCCGTCTGTTCGTCAAGTGGACAAGGAGCTTTCACCCATGCGCAACGTGGACCTCTTCTCCCCCGCTAGCCGCCGCGGTGACAGCTTGAGAAATGTTTCCACCGACAGCCGCGGAGTGGGCGCACGTGCTGCAGAGACTGGAAGAATTCATTCTTTTGTGCCCTCGAAACACCCCACCCGGGGAGAGTCAACGGGAATAGACTTCTACCGCGTGCGGAGGCAAAATTGTAAAGAGAACGGGGGGAGAGAGACTGACCGAGGGTAAGAGCGGCCTTCTGGGTCGGCGCACTACAAAACCCACGTGAAAAATCCAGCTCAACAATTTCTGCGGGCTCATTGACTTCATAGATGCCCATAACTCTCCCACTCCAGGTAGATGCCTACGGATTTCACCAAAATTCTTCCATCACATCGGTCAACACAGACGCAGGCCATCGTCAGCCGCCGAGGCCTTGTTGATCGCCCCTCTCGAGATCTTAGTAGTCATTAGTGGCAGCTCAACCGCTGGCCCGTGCCGTAGAACATCGTCCCTGCCCGAGGACGGTCACATTCGATGGCATTATAGACCGGCCTACCTATCTTCAACAAACGTTCGGCCTTGATCCAGGAAATGGGTACGATCCTCAACGAGCCCAGAGCTCTCCCTCTCTCTCTCTCTCGCTCTCTCTCTCGCTCTCTCTCTCTCTCTCTCTCTCTCTCTCTCTCTCTCTCTCTCTCTCTCTCTCTCTCTCTCGCTCTCTCTCTCTCTCTCTCTCTCTATCTCTCTCTTTCTCTCTCCCCCTCTCTCTTTCTCTCGCTCGGTATATCTTTGCTTCTGCTAAGCCTTCCCCATGGGCCACATGTTTACTACCACCAGTAAAGAAGAGAGGTGCTCAATGGAAGAGTAAAGCGAGAGAAGGCATGTGTGGACATTGTTTCTCTCCCTTGGTTGGAGGTGGGCTTGCCCCGGAAGATTTGATGGCTCAGAGTTGCGCTGGCCGCTTTGGCGGCGCCCTGGATCTCGTTCCCACCAATCGGGCGAGCGCCACTCCCCACTCCTTACTGTTCGTTGATCGCTCGGATCCAGCGCCCATGTAGAGCAGCTGTGTGATCTGCTCCCTCCCGCAGATGACAACTAGGCAGCGTTCGCCGTGTAAAAAAGGTCTGTCAGCGCCCGCGGAAAGTTGGTCCCCCCCGTCAGCGCTCCTCCGGACCGTGACGAGAGAACGGGGAGGGAGGAGAGGAGATGGGGATGGCGGCGGCGGGGGGCTTTGCTCCGAAGGCGCGGACGGCGCTGGTCTTGCTCCTGGTGCTGGTTGCTGCTGAGATAGCAGCAGCTCGGGCTCCTTTTAATGGTAGTCGCTGATTGAACCCATTTCTTGCTCAATTACTGTTCCCTGACCAAATTCTCTCTGTCTCCCTGCTCACACTCCTCGTCATCATGCAGAGGACTCGCCCGGCTCCGCCGGCGACCTGATCGGCCTGGCGCTCAGCTTCTTCTCCTTCTCGGGCGGCGACACGGCGGCGCTTCAGCGCATTGGATCTGCCCTCCGCTGGGCCAGAGTGAATGCGCTGGTTCCAGTGCTGAGGGTAACGATCTCCGTGTGCCTGGTGATGCTGGTGATGCAGATCACGGAAAAGCTCTTCGTCGGCGGCATCAGCCTCTTCGTGAAGGTCTTCCGCCGCAGGCCCGAGAAGGTGTACGACTGGAAACCCATCGAAGAGATCGAGGAGGCGGGGAGCTCCGTCTTCCCGATGGTCCTCGTCCAGATCCCCATGTACAACGAGAAGGAGGTGAGCTCGCAGTCTCCTCTCCTTCTTCCCGCTTCTCCTCCTCCCCATTCGGCAGAACTCGCGAGCCCATCGGTGATCTCTGAGGCGACGGCGCAGGTTTACAAGCTATCCATCGGAGCTGCGTGCCGGCTGTCATGGCCGCGGGACAGATTCGTCATCCAGGTCCTCGACGACTCCACAGATCTCGGCATCAAGGTTGGTCATCAACCTCTCTGCTTCGGAGCTCTCTGTCCTCTCCCCCCTCCCTTCCCCACAGCCGTTTGTCGAGATTGGTTGGTGGTCACCTTCGATCCATTCCCCCCTCCACGTGGTGGTGGGTTCTACTCGGATTTACTCTGCATCACACTTGTGGAGAAGATGACAAATCTTTAATGGGCGAGAAACGCTGAGACAATCGTGGCGGGCCCCGCAGATGTCGCTTGGTCCAGTCAGAGTCGGCCACCTGTCATTGACTCACCATCAACTTGACTACCTTTGTCGCCTCGAACGTCGCCGGCGTCTGAGCAGTGCTGAACTCACTTGCAGGAGCTGGTGATGGCGGAGTGTCGCCTGTGGGCGGCGAAGGGGATGAACATCAAGTACGAGGTGAGGGACAACAGGAAGGGCTACAAGGCGGGCGCCCTCAAGGAGGGCATGAAGCACAGCTACGTGGAGCATTGCGAGTACATCGCCATGTTCGACGCCGACTTCCAGCCGGAGCCCCATTTCCTGCAGAGGACCATCCCCTTCCTCGTCCACAACCCCCGGCTGGCCCTCGTCCAGTCCCGATGGAAGTTCGGTGAGTCGTCTCTCCGATGGCCTCGTCTTCTCGACTCCGACTGGCCTTCCGGCTCGAGAGGGGCTGGGTCTACCCCCGTTCTCCTCCGTGGCTAATGAATTTGGCGTCCTCCGTGCAGTGAACGCCGCCGAGTGCGTGATGACGAGAATGCAGGAGATGTCTCTGAACTACCACTTCAAGGTGGAGCAGGAGGGCGGTTCGTCGTCCTTCGCCTTCTTCGGCTACAATGGTAGTCTCGACTTCCTCCTCCTCCTCCTCCTGCTGCCCACAGCCTGTTCGATTAAATTACCCACAGAAAGACGCCACCCACAGATGCTCTCATTGCTCGGCGTCTGCAGGCACGGCCGGTGTGTGGAGGATCTCCGCCATCCAAGACGCCGGCGGTTGGAACGACCGGACGACGGTGGAGGACATGGATCTGGCTGTCCGAGCGGGCCTCAGGGGATGGAAGTTTGTGTACGTCGGCGACATCAAGGTGCGCAGGTTTCCCTCACTTCCTTCGTGATTGACTTTCTGGGTCGGTTTTTTGCAGTGCATAATTAGATGGATTGAGGGTTGACCTTGCTTCCTGGGGCAGGTTAAAAGCGAGTTGCCGAGTACGTTCAAGGCCTACCGGTTTCAGCAGCACAGATGGTCGTGCGGGCCGGCGAATTTGTTCAGGAAGATGGCCCTGGAGATCATCACGAATAAAGTGAGCTCACCCGTTGACTTTAGTTCGTTCTCCACCTTGGGTCCTTCTTCGCTTCAGTCCTGCAGGCTTGATGGTTATTGATGATGGTGAACCATTGGATCTCTCCCCTTGTCCCCACGCAGACGGTGTCCATCTGGATGAAGTTCTACCTTCTCTACTACTTCTTCTTCCTCGGGAAGATCGTGGCCCACTCGCTGACCTTCATCTTCTTCTGCACCGTGATCCCCATCTTGGCCTTCGTCCCCGAGGTTGACATTCCGATGTGGGCTCTGTTCTACGCGCCGCTGGTCATAACCATCCTAAAAGCGATCGAGACTCCACGGTACAGACGAGCCCTCGCCAGAGATCATCGTTCCCTATTTATTTCTTTGAGGCATCGATCTTTCAGAGGAATTCTGATCTGGGTAGCCCCTGTGATCTTGCCGGGGCAGATCTCTTCACCTGACGGTGTTCTGGGTCCTCTTCGAGAACGCGATGTCGTTGCACCGGCTCAAGGCGGCGATGATGGGTCTGCTCGAGGCCGGCAGGGTGAACGAGTGGGTCGTCACCGAGAAGCTGGGGGCCACCCTCAAGGCGAAACCTGCGGCCGAAGGGCTCGAAAAGGCTCAGAGCCTCGAGGACGTCCACGAGCCGCTATTGCCCATCGCCGCTCAGCCTTCCAAGAAAACTACGGTCAGGTTCTGGAAAAGGTAACGCCTTTCAGATAGCCCGGCCTTCGTAGTTTGTTGACGCGGATCTGTTCTTTCTCTGTCTTCATGTTCTTTCTCTCTCTATGGTTCCCGTCGGAAAGGTTCCACCATGCGGAGCTCGGCTGGGGAGTTGTCCTCATCTGCTGCGGGTTCTACGACGTCTTCGTCACCAAGAAAGGCTACTTTGTGTACGTCCTCCTCCAGGGCTCCGCGTTCCTGGTGACCGGCTTCGACTACGTCGGCACCCACATCCCGACGCCCTGACCAGGCGAGAGAAGACAGATCTGGTTCGAGTTCGTGGCACCGCCAGCCGATTGAGGCGGCCATTGTTTGACGGCATTGAAGGCACAATAAGATCCCCGACTGCTGCTTCCCGGAGAAGGTGGAGCTTCTCAGGAGTCGGGGGGGAGCATGCCGGCTCTGAATTCCTTACGGTAGTTAGTCCGGGGGGCAGAAATCTTCCTGTCACGGGTGTCATAGCCGTCATAATTTCCTGATGATGCAAAATGTATGTGGACGAATAATTTCTACGGGCTGCCGGCATGACGCGATGGGTCTCGGTCTACGCTGCACAAAGCTGGGCGACGTTTCGTACTCCGCCATAGCTTGGGCTCGGCCGACTGAGTGGCAGCACCCCTAGCTAGGAGTATGGAGTCCACCAATCACTCCACTAAGCACACTGATCCATTTGCTTCAACTCTCTCTCTCTCTCTCTCTCGCTTCAAATCTATATACATATATATCGCTGGGTGACCTGAATCTGAGCACTAATACTGCAGCAGAAGAACAAGCGCAAGGTACACAGCCGACAGAGGAATAGATATTCAAGAAGAAGAAGGGAGAAGAATGGTACACAGGTTTAATTGTAGGACTAAGAGGCTAATATACATTCCCACATACACCAAGAATGAGAATAAAGAGGAGTGCCAGATCCCCAATGTCAGATTGGAGATGACAGATTTTTCATACTTTTTTTTCTTCCAAGATCCCTTTTTAAGTATGTTTTATACAGAGGGTTAGATTTATATTATCCAGATATTACTTGGACTTTTAATCTTCCAAGAATAAGGGTTTGATTTTAAGTTTTAAGTATGTTTTAAAGTGTTGTGTCAAAGTGCTCATTATTCATTCGATCTAATAATTTAGGCACTTGGAAAAATATATGATTTATTGGCTTTTAAGTTCTGTTGAATCTTTTCAATTCGACCCAGTTGTACTCGATGTATCAGCTAAAGAACCCTTTTTTTCCACAGATTGCGGAGAAGAGAAAAGTCGTCTCCCCAGTAGAAGAGGGCTCTAGCAACACAGGAGCTGGGACAATGCCCCTTTAGGAAAAGTGATGGCTCTTCCCAAGTTTCATATTCAGCTTCAACCAGTGAGAGACCCAATAAGAGCGGCGAAATTTTTTCTACTCCTCGAAGGCAACAAAACCTTCAGATACTATAACGGATCATAACGTAGCTGAGATAAGGAAACCAAGTCAGAATGGCCAAGTAAAGATGCCTGCTGGTGAGAAGGATCGTAGAGATAGTGTAAAAGTAGAAACCTCAGTTGGTGAAGAAACCCTGATAGCATAATCTCTTGGGTTGATAAGAGATGCTAATCCGGAGGTTTCTAAATTTTAGGCAATGTCATCATCAAAGACAGAGGTTTTGACTTCTTCTCCTATAGATGGTCATCCAGAGGGATCTCAAGAGAAATAAATAAATAAAGCTTGGCAGTGTGCGGGGGGGAAAAAATGGAATAAAATGTGAGGTTCCCCCTTCGGCCAGGAAAATTCTTATGAACATCATCTTGGTTGCTGCGGAATATGCTCCTTGATCCAGAACTGGTAATCACTTTCTTGTGCACCATACCCTTCAGTTCTGGTGAGGAACAGAGGAGCGGGAACCTACGACCACGTTGACAGTGGACCGACCCAAGCTCATTTCGGAGCGATGGAGTCCTCCTAGTACGAGGGCAGAGAGGAATTTGAGGACTTTACCTATTTCGCTCCGTGAATGCCGTGCATCACCGCTCCGTGAAGGTGCGACCGTGAAGGTCGCGCATACCCGCCCCATGAAGGAGAGGCCGTGAGGGCCGCTATCTATTCTCCGCCGCCGCTATCCATTCAAACCATTAGCCGTTGGTTTCCACCGTCGTCACCATCCGCCAATATTATTCGCTCCGCCGCCGCCACCATTGTCCGTCGCCTCTGTCCGCCGCCATCGCCACCTCCGCCAGTCGGACATCGTCCAATCTTCGCCATCCTTCTACCGTTACCATCCACCGTTGTCGACGGCTCCCTTGCCACCATTCGCCACTGTCACCGCCGTCTGCCACCGCCACCGCTGCCATTCTCTCTTCCAACATTCCGCCGCTTCTGCCGTCCGCTCCGTTCACCCGTCTTTCTCGAACTGCCTCCTCACTGGTTGGGATTAGGGTTAAAACCGCCACCGCTCCCATTTTACTCTTTCATCAACCTATCCTGCATCCAGTTCCTTCATGTTTCTAGTCAATGACTAATTTTTGTCTTTTTGCATATCAATGTTTTTTGTTAGGTTGGCTTGGTCAACCCATTAAGAGGTCTATCAAGGTCTCTCTCTCTCTCTCTTTGCTTATATTTAATTTTAGGGGCTGGGTTTAGGTACTAAAATAGTCCTAATCACTTTTGTTTACAAGAGATTAAAAGGTAGCTCTAGGAGAGAAAAGTGTGAGAGGGACAAAATCAGAGATGAAAGCCCTTTCTCTCTAGAAATAGACCTTTTATGTCTCCTCCATTTTGGTCACTTAGACTAGAGTTTTCTTCTTTTCTCTTCTCAAACATTTTTTGTTTTGTGGACAGTATTTCCTAATTTTTATTACACTTCAATTACCCAACAAATTGGTACTAGAGGAGAAGAAAACCCTTAAGGAATAAATTTTGAGAGTTTAATATTCTTACTTTGAAGAACACAAGATGTCTACAGAGTTTGATATTAAATAGTTTTCATTAGAACATCAACTTTAGAATATGGCAAGTCTAGATGAAAACTCTTGATATAGGGCTTCATAAATCATTACATGGGAAGAGAAAATGTTTGTTACAATGTATATGAAAGAGAAACAAAACTAACATTTTTTTTTTTGGTGTGATTTAATTATGTTTATGAAATGGGATTTTACAAAAGGTCATCTATGATAAGACAATACTTTTTTTATCATTCACTAGCAAGGTGTAACTTTTAATGCTAAAGATGGTACAAAGTATATCAATTAAATCACATCTTGATGAATTTCACACTATTGTTTTAGATTTAATTTTTTTTTATGTGAGAGATGAGGAAAACTAAGTTTTATTAAATTTTATTCTTCACCACCAATATATAAACATTTTGAGAAACTTAGTTATATGGTTTACATGTTAGAATGTGTGGATAATGATTATCCTCTACAACACATGCAGATCTATATCTACAATGAATTGGTGAAAAGTTTAGGGAGAATGCTCTTAGAGTTAATTCAAACAAGGGGCTATTGTGTTGTTTGCTTTTGTGTCATTGCCATATAGGTAATGACTTGTGCTGGTTTAATTTGAGCTAAATAGCAAATGTCATTCTCTCCCTTTGAACATTCTTCAAGGGCTTGCCCAACAAGATCACAGCTCAAAGGAGAGTGGTAAAGGTTTGTTCAAATGAAAATTCTGGCCACAAGATGGCACAGATGACGAAGAGGGAAACCATTACTACCAGGGTTCAAAGATGGACATTAGTCTGCAAAGTTAGGGGTGAATGGTGATTTTCACCATAGTGCAAAGTGGTGTTTGTTGGAACATTAAAATACACAAGATTTTGATAACGACAAATGAGTTTAAAGATAAATTGAAAGATTAAATTATGCCTAGTTTAGAATATATATTATAAGAGATTGAACATGGAATGTTAAGTATATTTTAGAATAACATTGATAAAAGTCTAAATGGGAACTTCCAAAGTATATTCATAATCCATAATGTTCAACTAGCTAACTTGACTAATTGTAGCATGAAAAATTATTATTTTGTATATTGTTGTGAAAATTACTACTATTGGTAGAAATGTGCATAGTAAGAAAAAGGGTGATAAAGTCAATCAAATCAATAAGATTTTGTGTGAAGTAAAATATGAGCATCAATATTTACTTAGTTGTCTATGAAGCTATGATCTCACATTATAAGTTTCAAAAGTTTATGACTTTCAATTAACAAAGCATATTCACACTCTATATTTATGACAAATAAGATTTTTTGAAAAATATTGAAATCATGTTTATTATTTAAATTTTTGAAGTTATGATTTAATCTATTATGATCATTGATCAAGATGTTTTATTGGACATCGTATTTTGGTTTGACTTGATTCTTATCAATTTTTGAGTACCCTATCATAGTTTTACTAAAACCTGATTTTATTGATTCAGTTTTCATGATATTAGATTTTGGTTCGACATGATTCAAATTAGTCTTTGAGTACCTTATCATGGTTTTACAAAGATTTGATTTTATAAGTTCAATTTTCATAATATCAAATTTTGTTTTGACATGATTGAAATAAATTTTACTAAGATTTATTTGATCACTCGTCGGAGTTGTCTCCTTGAACAGAAATTGGCCTCTTAGAGTTGTCTAGAAAGAGATTTTAGGGTGAAATTCTACATGAGCTAGGTCATGTAATTAGTAGTGTATGATTAGACAATCATAATTAGTGAAACCTAAGAACAAGATTATTCTCGAAGAGTGGATGTAGGTAGTGTGTCGAACCCCTATAAAAATCTCTTGTCCCTAGAACCACTAAGCTACAAGGATTACATGAATCTTATAGATAGAGAAAAAATAGAATCATCCAAGTAAATTTAGAGGAAGAATTTTTAGAACTGAATCAATTTAACCTCCCTTTTTGATTCTAGTGTGGGCCATAACCCAATAGTGTTGGCACAATCGGAGGCACATAGTAGCATGTATGAGGAGCAGCTCTAGGACATTTGGAAAAACTGCAATAGATGCATGGCACTAGAGTACAACTATGTTGGTAGCCTCCCCCCCCATCTCATCCTAGGGCATGCTAGCCTCCACCTAGCCCGCCCAATCTCATCTTAAAGCACGTTGGCCTCCCCCCCACTAGCCCTGTCTCCTCCAAGACACATAGAGGCGTGCACACCTTACATGTCACATGCTTGCCAGTAGTGCACACACTAGTGCCACCACCTCGCCATGCCAAGCACTGTAAGGCCCACACTACTGTGCACAAGCTCTAACACTAGCATCTCCT